GCGAAGCCTCTTCTAAGGATGCCTACCCTGAAGAAGTTACCCTCCTCCCTCCAGAAAAACCTCAGTGGGTCTCTCTCCCACTGCAACTCTCTCGTAATCTCTTCGGCCTTGAAACTGCTCGACCACGTCCTGAAGCAAACCAGGTAATTTTCTGAAGAAGGGTCTAGGCCCGAAACGTCAGCCTTCCTGCTCGGCCTGTGTTCATCCAGCTCTACACCTTGTTATCTCTATATAAATAGTTCATCCATTTTTGACGGTGTTTATTGAGAAGGAATGTTGATCAGGAGATGGTGAAATGTCCCCATAACCATAACTGTAGCCATGAATTTCTAGCAAGGAAAAGCACATACGTGTTACCAGTTCCTTGGCATTTGTTTAGGAGGAACGAGTGGGTGCAACTGTTTTCTCAGGCCATGGGGTTTGTAAAGCACATATCTAGGGAATACTGAGAGTCTGAACAGGGGAGAGCAAGATGTTATTGGGAAAGTGAGCAGGAAAAGGACATGCAAGAATGCAATACATAACAGCAAGAGTCAAATGTTCCATGGAGCTTCCTCCACCATTTAACAAGATAATGGCTGACATTTGGCCATGACTTCACTTTACCCTTCAAAACCTTTGTTCCCTTGGAGTCCAAACTCTATCAATCTCAGCCTTGAACATATTCAACAACGGTGCGCCTATAATCCTCTAAGTTAGAGAATTCCAAAGATTTGTTTATTTATTTATTTATATATTGTCACATGGACCTAGGGTACAGTGGAAAAGTGGATAATGTCGCCACGCTCCGGCGCCACCTTGGAATACAGAATAAGTTACTAAATAAATTGTGTAAATGGTAAAATATTGAATAAATTAATATTAAATTGATATTACTAAAATTGACACAGCTCCCTAAGTTCATCCTTCCGTCTCCACTCCTCCAGTTGCCACGGTCTAACATTGTCCCTGGGGTCCTGGCAATGTGCTCCCTTTCTGCAGCCACTGGTACCGTTGCTTCTGCCCCCTCCGTGCTCAAGACGGTCACGCTGTGTGGGTCCTGCACCTCCTCCAACGCTGGACATCGACAGGCGCATCCTGGCTCCAAGTCCATCAACGCGGTTCTGGCTCATCTTCCGATGTCAGCACCCGAGATGGAGCGGGGATGGAGATACATGTAGCACCGGCCTCCCACAGGAGGGCATCAGGAGGTGGCCCCGGGGCAACCGAAACAAACAAGCAAACAAAAATCCTCAGTAAGAAATTTCATAACAGGAGTGAGCAGGCCGTAGAGATTTAACAGCTGTACGTGCAGAGCAGACTAACGCAATAGGAGGGTGCGTAGGACACACTGAAATTTAACAGAAGAGTAAGCAGTACTTTCACCACTGTGCTCCCCAACATCCAGTAGTGCATAACCCTCAGCTTGTCCTTTCACAGATATCACACACTGAAACAAACCCTATTAGTTCAACAATGTCAGCTGTGGCTCAGAGGTGGAGTTCTTGCCTCTGTGTCAGAAGGTTGGGTGTTGTAGTGTCCCTCCAGACAGCAGCACACAGATCTTAAAAACTCCAGCGCAGTACTGAGGGGGAGAAGACTTTCAGGCAAGCAGTTAAACCAAGGAATAAGGAAGTGATGGAGAAACTCAGCAGGTCTGGCTGGATCAATGGACAGAGAATGCGAGTTAACATTTCGAGTCCAGCATGAATGCAATGTAATGCAAGGGTCAAGTAGAATCCAGGCCAAACATCAGTCATGATATTATTGAATGGCATCAAGGGTTCAGTGGGCTGTAAAACTCTTGCTGTTATAAATTATATTCTTATTACATATCAGCCATTCTGGACTCGAAATGGATAACTCGCACTCTCTCTCTTTCTCCACAGATCCTGCTAGACCTGCTGAGTTTCTCTTTATTTCAGATTTCCATCATTTGGAATATTTTGCTTTTATTTGAGAGGTTAAAGTTATGACCTGTCTGTTAAATTTTGTAGAGATGAAAAATAACCTTACTTTGAAGATGAACAGGAGAGTTTTCCCCATGTAAAGACCATGAATCTATCTCTCACAAACCTAGATTATCACATTGCTGTTTGTGGGAGCTAGCTGTGTGCAAATCGGCATTACAACAATGACTATACTTCAAAAAGTGTCGAACTATACGGGTACCTTGAGATGTCCTTAGTTTGTAAGACATAGTAGAAATAAAAATCCTTTAATTTCACATTCATCACTCAGCCCATGTTTTGTTTTGAGCTTGTTTCTGGGATCAAACACTGTTGTAGTGTTTACATCACTTTTGAAGAATAAAATCATTACAACTAAATTGCCCCTAGTGTTCAGGGATGTGTAGATTAGGTTGGTTATAGGGGGATGGGTCTGGGTGGGATGCTCTGAGGGTGAGAGTTAACTTGTTGAGCTGAAGGGCCTGTTTCCACACTGTAGGGATTCTATGAATGAAAACTGCACTTGCGTTTGCTGTGTTTACCTTGTGCTTGTGCGCATCCATTCTTACAATCCAGCTCCAATAGGAAGTTATTCCGATTGCCCTGGCATCCACTGTAGATGAAGTGTCTGCAGGTTCTTGAGACGCTATCAAAATACCAGCGAGGGAGATGGCCCTCGCAGGGACCCGGGGCAGGAGGAAGCAAGCAATACGCTGCAAAGTAAAAAAAAAACTGGCATTAATGTATCGTACTTAATGTGGTAAAACCAAAGCACTTGACAGAAGCATTTTATCTAACAAATAGTTTCGTAAGGAGAGGTAAGTAAAATGTTGGCCAGAAAGTAGAAACAGGAGAGACAGGTGTCGAGGTGAAGAGGTTTAGGGAGGGATTTTGGGAGCTTAGTTCCTAGACAGCAGAGACACGGCCACCAATTGAGGGTGAAAGAAGTTGGGCGTACACAATGTGTCACAACTGGGGGAAGTGTTTTTTGTGGACTGTAAGGCTGGAGGAGATTACAGAGACAGGGATTTGAACTCAAGGATGAGCTATTTACAGATGAGGACTCTATGTAAATCAATAATCAATCATTAGCGAATGATGGAGGAGGCTCAATGGACCATTTGACTCTTGCTGTTATATATTGCTTTCTTATATGTCCCATTCACTTTCCTGGTAACATCTTGCTCTGCCCTGTTCCGATTCTCAGTATTTCCCAGATATGTGTTTTACTAATCCTGTGGCCTGCGCAGAGCATGCAGGACTTGGTAACAGGTACAACACGGGGCAGCAGAATTTTGCATAGAATACATCTGTGAAAAGTGCAGCAAAGAAATCATCGGCAGACTTTTGGAGGAACTGTATAAATGTAGGCCATGACACCTTGGAGCCGCCTAAAAAAATGGGAGGAGTGGGAGGAAAGAAAAAGCTTAATGTTGTAATTATAGGGGAGATATTACAGAACCAGTCTATATCCCTTATGGGAAAGATAAGATCCATAAAGATATCCATGGATAATTAAAAAGGTAAGAGACAACAAAAACTAAGAGAAACAGCAGACAAAAATCAAAAATAAAGTGCAGGTCCTGGTAAATAGGAGCCATGCAAACAGGTACAAAAGAAAAGCAGTATGACAAGAAACTGACAAAAAGATGTTAAAATCAACCCCAAATCTTTTACAATCACTCTGGGAAAGAAAATGATCAGGAGCAATGTGGCCCCTGAAAGACTGACAATGATAAAATTACCAATAAAATGATTGGGGAATATTAGCTAACACACAATATTTATTTCATGCTTTATAGAGGATGTCAAACATTCCAAAGAAACTATTCAGAGTTCTAAAAGAAAGTGAAAACATTCCAGGTGCCCTAATTATATCTTTCAAAACTCTCTCAACTTGGAAACTGTTCCTTTGGATTGGAAACTTACACGTGTGACCAGACTAGTTGTCCTTCTATCTGTTGTTTGGAAATTACTTGTCAATAGTTCAGGACATAATCGAGAGATGTGGGGATTGTTCAAGATGATGTATGTTAATGTAGGTAACCAGTCATGATCATATTGAGTGGTGAAGCTGATTTGAAGGGCTAACTCTTGTTGTTATTTCTGGGTGTTTAATAATTACATAGAGATGCACATATACAGAATCTCAGGAACAGGACAAAACACTTCATATGGAAACATTTGTTTGAAGTGCCATGATTCAAGTTGTGTAGATAAGCATGGCACTTATTTTGTGCACAGCTTGAATCTAGTTCATGACCAACTAGTCTGGGTTTACTAACAGTTTGTTCAGGAAGGATTATTGGCAGGGCCTACCTATTTTATTTTCAACAGTATCACAAATATTTAACTGGACCAGTGTAACAGGCAGCGTAATAAGAGCCTCAGTTTAATGTATCAGCTAAAGGATTACTGTTATGACAGTTCAGCACTCCCTCAGCACTGCACTGAAGTGCAAGCCCACATTAAATGCCACATGAGTTTGTGGAGAGGCACAGAAAATATCAGGTCTATGACCTTTTATCAGGGAGCTCAAAATGTGCAACATTTTTAACAAAGGGTGGATGGTAGAGACAAACAAAAGCTAGGTGTGTGATATGGTAGTGGGCAAGTGGGATTAAATGTCAAAAGGTTTCATAGTTCAAAGGTCAAAGTGGGTGGCAACCAGTGTTCAGGCACCTGGATGAGGTATTAACGGCTGAAAATTAAGAAAGAATAGAGAAAATCTGAACCACCAAATAAAGCCTCACAAAACAAAATGGGGGTATTTGACTTGATTTGATTTATCATTGTCACGTGTACCACAGTACAGTGTTGTCTTACATGTTTTACACGCAGATTGTACCATACAAGTGCATCAGGGAAAATGTTGAACTTAAAATGTTGAATCTAGAAGATAGCAGGGCACCAAGTCGAAAGATGAAGGGCTACTCCTCAAGCTTGTATTATGCTTCACTGGAACACTAAGGTCAAGACCCGAAAGATTAAAGTGGGAGCAAGGTGGAAAATAGAAATGACCAGCAGCAGGAAGCTCAAGGGCATCATGTGGCCTGAATGTAAATATTCTGTAAAGCAGACATCCAGCCTGAATTTAGTCTTCCCAGTGTAAAGTGCAACCTTGGTGAAAAGCACAGATATTTTGACTTGGCACTCTACAGAGCTCAACAATTTTAGAACATAATCTCTGCCCTCATTTTGTTTGTGCTTTCTTCTCTTGTTTTAGTTTTTAATCTAGTTTCTTGCAGAAGCAACATCTGTCCTTCTACCTTCCTCACCATCCAAGGCCCCAAACGCATGAATGAAGTAGTGATATATTTGTGCTTATTTAAGTTTTGTACATTTACCACAGCACTATTGATACATTGTCTCTGCTATACTGGGGAGACCAAATGCTAACCCATTTGTCTTGTATATCACTTGTTCACACATACCTGGAATCTGGTCAGGATTGGACATGCCCATCCCTTCCGTTCTGGATGACTGCGTCATCTGGATAGCGGGCTCCTCCACACGTTTATGGTTCACTGTTGAAGTCCTGTGGAAGCTGTCAGAGGATGGCCACATGGCCATATCTTGCTCTAAACTAGCAGCAAGCGTTGAATGTGTAATTGATTTACGACCTACATTAACTTTAGCACACAGAAATAAACCATTAGCTTACACCATCATTTTTCTGCCTCTCCAACTCATCCTCCCACCCTCCAGTTAATGAAAGCAAGGCCAAATCTTTGACTAATGGTTAGGGATTGTACTTACAGCTCTGGCAGAAGGTTTCATCAGATCTGTCAGGGCACTGGGCTGTCCCGTCACAAGCCATAGTGATATCAATGCAGCAGCCATCATCACAGATGAACTGATATCGTGAACAAACTCCTGTACAATCTATGGAAGATAAACAAACAATAGCGAATCAGGATATGCACTAACACTGCTTCTTCATGGTAGAAGTTGCCATTGAAACATGGGTCAAGCCAACCTCACACCTGCTGCTGCTGTGGGAAGACACTTTAGAGTTCTACAATGACTGTCCCCACCCCGTCCCACCAATGTCAAACTTATTAAAAGCAAAGCACTACGGATGCTGGAGGTTTGAAATGTTAACCCTGTTTCTCTCTCCATAGATATTGCCCTTTTGCTCCAGCACTTTCATATTTATGACATGTTGTGATTGGGGGTTGGAACTGGCATTAGTTCATAATCCATGTCTGTAAGATTATCACCTTCCCACCAGATGAAAGGAGCTGAAAAAGTTTTTTTTGCTTTGTGTCAAGATTTCTTTTGTTCTAACAGGAACCAACCAGCTCCACTAATTCCACTAGCAAAACAAAAGAAAAATATCACAGATACCAAACATCTGAAATTTTAAAAAAATCAAGATTTATTCTCCTGCTCAGACACCGCTGTCCTCTGCTTCCTGCATTGTTCAAATAAAGCTCAAGGTACAATTTTTGCTGATTACACACTTGCTAAATCATTAACCCCTTTTCCCAAACTTCAGGTGCTGTTAATGATTCTGCAATAACCATTTACACCCCATGCAGCATCATCCCGTGTTTTTTTAGTTGTCCCATTACTACCTCCATTTGTATCCCACTATCTCCACCCTGCCCTCCACTCTATCACCTTTCTTCTTTGTCCATTCCTCCTTTATACCCCTGACTCAACACTTGCTTGAAACTGTTCAATTCCCAATTTATTCATTTCTGAAGGAAGGTTATCAACTTGAAGCCTTAACTATGTTTCACTTGCCACAGATGCCTGCCTGGAAGTTTTAACTTAACTTCCATGCTGAAGATGCACCTGCACTAACTCAATAGCACACAAGGGTAAGCGGAGCATTTGTCATCCAGTGACGATGGAGTGTTTATGATGGAGAAGGCAGTAGAGCTTCAATGGCAAATTATTACTAATAATGCAAGGAAAGAGATAGGTTGGATGTTTGTTGATTCTTTTCCCAGTGAAATACGGACTTGAGCAACTCACGTCATGAATGCTGCTTTGGCTCAGTTCATTTAAGCAGGAGCTAGGTTGGTTTCCGACTGGACTGGAGATCAGCAAGAGCAAGAGGTGGCTAACCGGTTACTCAAATCACCAAAGTAATATCCTGCACAGGTTTCAGTTTCCTAAGGAATAGTTTCAAGGCCTTTCCCCACAAGATTACATGGTAGTGGTTACCATGAGGTCCCACTTTCTCCATCTCTCCCCTTGCCTGAGGCATGGTGATCCTCAGGTTGAGCTCACCTCCAGCTGTCCATCTCTAATGAGAGGGCAGACTTCTGTGTCCTCTAGGACTATGGCGACTTTACCTTTTACCTTACAGGGTACTGGGTGGAGCGAGGAGTATCTGTACTTTGATATATTGGATATCACGACATTAGGGTCAGGCTGAATGGACCTGTGTCTGTCATTTTTGCATGTTTGGCTGTAACGTACCTTGTAAACTCCAGCATCTTCAAAGCACTGCTTCTCAACCAAATGCGAGTGTGAGAGTCCTGTGCCGTATGTTCTGGTCTGGGGTCACTGGTGAGTTGGGTGGAAAGTATCTCCAGTGATGCTGAACCTGGACTGGCCTCCATCTCTTGCTCCTGCTCTCCTTCCTCCAAAAGAAAAGCAAAAATACAGGGGAATTCCCAAAGGGAAACACTGTCTGGAAAGATGGGGCAAGGCTGAGGCCTGATCAACCTGTAGGGAGAAACCCCACACCCACCACACCCCCACCCCCAACCTTTGGTCTGCATCAGGAAACTTCACAAATCAGTTAGCAAGGTACAGGAATAAGGAGACTGACCTAGAGATGTGCTGAGACTATTAAGACTATAAAATGCTTGAGGGCTGTGCAGCCACACAATAGGAAGGATTGGAAAGGGTGCTGAGAAAATTCACCATAATTATACTACAGTGAAGGACTCCAGTTAGATGGAGAGAAGAAGAAGCTGGCTGATTTCCCTTACAGCAGAGAAGTTTATGGTGAGACTTAATATAAATATTCTAAATTCTGAAGGGAAATGATCGAGCAAACAAAAAGAAAGTGTTTCCACAGGCAGGAATATCATTCACAGGAGAACACAGATTTAAGGTAGCTGGCAAAAGAATCAGCAGGGATTTTACTCAGTGAGAAAGATCCGCAATACATTGCCTGAAACAGATTCAACAGCTAATTTCCTAAAAGGAATCGGACATATACTCAAAGGTAAACAATTACAAGGCTTTGCAGACTGGTTGGAGAGCTTTGAGAGTTACTATAGGTGAGCCAAAAGACCTGTTCTGCGCTACATGATTTTGTGATTTTGCAGCTTAACTTTACCCCATAAACTGTGGCTGGCCTGTATGGTTAGATGCTTTTGCTAGCTTGCTGCTTCTCCTTAAAGCACTACAGTCATTGTGTCGATGGTACTTCCAGGACGTATAAAGGTAGACCTCATTTGAACCTGTGGCAGACAAGCTCCTTTGGATAGTCAATGACTGTATCATTGCCAGATTCCTATATCTAATGCAATTGTTTCATCACTGAGGTCTAGTGCAAGTAGACTAACAGAGAAGCAGGGAGGGTCACAGAAATACAGAACCAGCAGCAGAAACTTGACCATGTTGAACAAATTTTTAACAGTTAGTGCCAGCCAAAAATACTCCCTCTGATAAAACGCCCAGGTTCGCTACTCGAAAGAAGACCAAATTACATTTGTAAAATAAAAAGGGATAGCATGTGCAGGAGAGTGAGGACAGGGCTGGAGTGAAAGAAGAGTGAGATAGGATTAATGTGTATGAGTTACCTCTGTGAGAGAGACCATATGGGAGGTTGTGCGTGCTGGAAAAGGTGAATGATTTTGAAAGAGAGCTAATGTACGATAGTGGGAAAGCAAAATGCTGAGAGTGATTATATGAGAGAAAGTTAGAATGAGGATGGGAGAGGGTAAGAGTGCAAAAGAGTGTGACTATAAAAAGACCGTGTGTGTCTAAGAAAGGCTGAATATTTCTGAAAGCATGTGGAAGTGAGTAAGTGTGAGAGGAAGTTTGTAGGAGATAAAGTACATGTGAATACATGAGAGGGATAATAAGAGAGGGTGAGAATATGAGAAAGAGCATATTAGCTTGAGACGCGTACATGCAGTGTAACCCTGACAATAGATTGGCTCAGTGCCAGTCCATTCATTTAATAAATAGGTCACCTTCCCAGGTAAAAACAACTAAAAATAACTTGAAATGCTCATTGTAATGGAATGTGCTGGCTGTATCCTTCAGAATTAGGCTAGATCTGAACACAGATTAAACTAAACATGACACAATCAGATGCACACAAGCAACATAGAGAGTGCACACAAAATACAGGAGCAATAACAATCCAATGCAAAATGCATGTAGTAATAGATAAATGACAGACAGCAACACATAACAAGAGCAGTTATGGAAATGCAGAGCATGACAAAGTATACAGCAACATGAAGGAGGAGTTTGGTATGTTTGCCTCTATTGGTCAATGCATTGAGTATAGTAGTTGGGAGGTCATGTTGCAGCTGTACAGGACATTGGTTAGGCCACTTTTGGAGTACTGCGTTCAGTTAAGGTCTTCCTGCTATAGGAATGATGTTGTGAAACTTGAAAGGGTTCAGAAAAGATTTACAGAGGTATTGCCAGGATTGGAGGGTTTGAGCTATAGTGAGAGATTGAATCGGCTGTGGCTATTTTCCCTGGAGCATCAGAGGCTGAGGGGTGACCTTATAGAGGTTTATAAAATCATGAGGGACATGGATGAGGCGAGTAGCCAAGATCTTTTCCCCGGGGTGGGAGAATTACGAGATAGTTTAAGGTGAGAGGGGAAAGATATAAAGAGAACCTTAGGGGCAACGTTTTAATGCAGAGGGTGGTGTGTGTATGGAATGAGCTGCCAGAAGAAGTGGTGGAGACTGGTACAATTACAACATTTAAAAGGCACCTGTAGGGGAAGGCGATGGCCGAGTGGTATCATCACTGGATTGTTAATCCAGAGATCTAGATAATATTCTGGGGATCCGGGTTTGAATCCCACCACAGCAGATGGTGGAATTTGAATTCAATAAAATAATGAATCTAATAATGACCATAAATCCATTGTCGATTGTCAGAAAAAACCCATCTGGTTCACAAATGTCCCTTAGGGAAGGAAACTGTCATCCTTACCTGGTCTGGCCTACATGTGACTCCAGACCCACAGTAATGTGGTTGACTCTCAACTGCCCTCTGGGCAATTAGGGTTGGCAGTAAATGCTGCTTAGCTAGCATGCCCCCATCCCGTTAACGAAATAAAGAAAAAAAAAGTATGGGCCATGAATAGGAAGGTTTCAGAGGGATATAGGCCAAATGCTGGCAAACAGGACTAGACTAATTTAGGATAACTGGTTGGCATGGTGAAGTTAGACCGAAAGATCTGTTTCCATGCTGTACAGCTCTGTGACTCTATGTGCATGTTGCAAAGCAACACGAAGACAAAACACACAATATATAAACCAGCAGCAAACATAAACATACAAATGCACATGCAACTCAAACAGAGCAACATGCAGCTCTTGATTCAAAAATGTGGATTTCAAATTCTGACATGGATTAGTAAATGTGGTTTAAAACTATCACTCTTATGTTGAAAGCCATCAAAATTCAGAAGATGCACTAATGGAAGAGGATAGGAATTAAGTCAATTAGGAAACTGTCCATCTTATTGATAGTAACTTCTGCCTTGTGTTTCCAGCTGGTTGTCCTATGCTGTTTTCTTGCAGCAGCAATCTCAAGAGACAAACTACAACTGGAACTCTTTAAATTCAGGGTAAAAGTGAGAAGCATCCCAAGCATTCATTCACTGTACCCCACTTGAAGTAGGATGTGAAAGGTCTGTTCCATCATCTGTACCATTACCACAAAGGGCTACTGTACATCAAAGAGAAGGTTCGGCTCAACTCTTCTGAAAGTAACTGACAAATTTTGGTCAGAAATGTTATGGGAGCTATTACATTACATCTTGCCATTTGTCACCTGAAATCTCCATCATTGCACGACCCTCCGCAGCCACTGGAACACGAGTTTGCTCATTACCTGATTAAATTATTCTCGACAGTTAGTCCTTTCTACCCTCACTTACAATTGTTTTAAAAAAAACTGGATCCATGATTTGTTTCCCTCAGTTGCTCACGGGAGATTTTTTTTTTTAAAATCAGTCACTCAGGTTCCTGAAAAATCCAATATTGTTTGATAGGTATGAAAAGTCAGTGAGACAGCAGCCAGAAAATCTTGAAAGAAATCATAAGCCAAACACACACCGCTGAATTTCAATCACCAGGTGTCTGTTGCTATCACAAACAAACCCAAGGACAAGAAGCTCACCCTTCCCTCTTCACATTTGTTCCAACTCCTGCCATGCTCCTAGTGTGAAGGAAAAAGATGGACTCTAACAATGAGTGTGTATAATCACTCAGGAATGATGGAGAGATTTACGTTCTGCCCTAACTTCAGCAGGCAACTTCTGGCTGAGTGAGAAACCCTGCCTGGAGCATGTATGTGCACTGAATCCTTCCAGTTTCAGGGTGCCGTGCCTTGAAAAGACCCAAGAAAGGCACAGGAACAGAAACCTCATCTGTGGCTGTTGGTGGTTCAGTTTTTGGACACTTCAATAGTAGTTCTGAAGACTTCTGTTGCTTTCTAATTGGTGTATAATTCACAAAATTTTTCTTTCTGCAGTGTAACAACCACATATAGCTACATAAACATTCCTGTGAAGATGCCAACATAATTAATAAAGCTAACGGAAAGTAAGTCTTTATCTCAAGGTGACTGGGATACAAAGGGCTGTGGTATGTGATCCAAAGTTTTTGTAAGAACCCTTTAAAGTACTTCACTTTGCCTTACAGGAATTGCATTATAGATTTAAAAGACTGATAGTGGAATTAACAGGGCTAAATTATGTTGAAAGGTTGTAGAGGCAAAACTTGCAATTCCTTCAGCAGAGAACATTAAGGATGAACTAGCTGAAGTGTGAAAGACAATAAAAGGAGTTGGTAGGGTAGATAGAAACTATTTTCTCTGCTGGGGGATCAAGAACAAGACTGTTTAATCAGAGGTAGGCTATTCAAGGGTCACATCATGAAGTACCTTTTCCCATAAAAGGTAGAAGTATGGAGCTCTCTCTCGTAAAAAGGCAGTGGATCTGAGAGGATATGGAACTAAGATGTGAATACTGAATGAAGACAGATCGCTCGTGATTAAATTAAGTGGTAGAAAAAGCCTCAAGGGGCAGATAGGCTAACAATTGTTCCTAAATGCTTTACAGAGCAGCAAGGGTTGGGCTGGATGTCAATCAATGCCATGAGCTTTGTGTGAATTCATGGATGAACTAACCTGTCGTATGGTGCTTTGGTGGCATCACAGTCACAGTGACATTATCATTGCTCTTTTGTCCAATCGTGTCAGTGACCGACAATTGAATCACATACATGCCTTCTCGTAAACCACTTAATCTCAACATGCCAGGCTGTGGAGACTGAAAAAAGTGACAGATATTCATAGCAGCTCTTGTAAAGGTTTACTGTCAGCAACATTTCAAAACATATAATGATTATAACATGTCAGCTGTGACTCAACGGTAACAGACTAACTTCCGAGTCAGAAAGTCAAGGTTCAAGCCTCAAAGACATATAATCCAGATTGACATTTTTTATTACACTTTTACTTCTCTGTAAATCTAATACTTGCAAATAAATCTGACTGGTATTTTTAGCCAGGGTAGCATATTTCATGTTGGTGTTTTAGCTGTCTGTTAGCGTTCAAGACAGCATGGAGGATTGTCCATGTATTTACTCAGTGCTCCCTTACTAAGGGTGCAGTCTTTCAAATGAGACGTTAAATCAGGTCCTTGTCTGTCCTTGCTGGTTGGTGTAAAAAGATTCTGTGGTACTATTGAAAGTAGACTTAGCAGAGTTTTCCTAGAGTCCCCACCAACATTCATCCCCAATTCAACCACTCCAATTATAGTTCAACTGGATCACGTGCACAAAAACAAAACAAAGAACTGTGGATGCTGGAAATCAGAAACAAAAACAAAAATTTCTAGGAGAAATCAGCAGGTCTGACAGCATCTCTGTGGAGAGAAAGAAGAAAGCAGTTCTGAAGGCGGCTCACTGTGATCCCAAAACTTTGCTTTTTCTCCGCAGATACTGCCAGACCTGCTGAACTTTACTAGCAATTTCTGTTTTTGTTTTTGATGATTTATACAACTCGCTGTTGTTTGTGGGATTTTGTTCTGTGCAGCTGGCTGCCCCATTTTAGAGATTTAAGCACAAAATCTAGACTGACACTCCAGTGCATCCTGGAGTTGGATTTGTATTGGTTAACGGAATTAATTGTTTGTCTGGATAAAGCACAACCGCCATCAAACAATACAAATCTAACATCTAAATGTGTGCAAAGGCAAAATAGCGCTGTACACAGGAGGAAAAACCACTAACTCCATTCATGTCTAAACGTTGACTTAAAAGTTGTAGTTTTCTGCCTGTTCCAAGGGATCAGGAATGCATAGACAACAGACGATTCATTTTTGAGATATCATGTCTCAGTGAATTGCCTGACATAGCCTTGTGGGATACTATTCTTATTGAGTACATTCTCATAGTCATCATCAGGAAATGGGCAGCACTCATTGCCGATCCCTTGTTGTCCTTGAGAAGATGATGACGAATCATCTGCTGCTTCAACCTTTGAGGAAAAGGTGCTCCTGCAATGCCATCAGGAAGGGAGCTTTATATGATTTTGATCCAGCAATGAAGAAGGAACTGTGATATACATCCGAGTTGTGTTTGTATTGAGACTTGGAATTATGCTGTTTCCATTTGGAGGTGCTCACAGGTTTGGGAGGCATAGCTGAAGAAGCACATGTAAAAATCGGGGTGGCATCCGCTGGTTTGGAAAATACTGAATATAACTCCTTTATTCAAAAACAAAAGGGCAATGGAGAGGAGACAGAAAGTTGTAAACTATAGATCAGTTAGTTTAGCATCTGTCGTATGGAAAACATTAAGTTAATATTAAATATATTTTAGCAAGGCACTATGAAAAAGTTAAGGTAATCAGGCAGAATCAACATAGTTTAGTCAAAGAGAAATTGTGTTTAACCAACAGATTGGAGTTCTTTAAGGAAGTAACATGCTGTGAATAAAGGGGTATTGTACTTAGATTTCCAGGTAATATTTGGTAAGGTTAGAAATAGAACACATGATGTAGTGGGCAACATATTAGCACAGACAGAAAAGTTGAAGAGCAGATAGTAAACAGAGAGAAAACATTAATGGGATCTTTATTTGGTTGGCAAGATGCAATGAATGCTATATCACAGGGGCCAGTGTTAGGCCCTCAAGTCTTTACAATTTATATAGATGACTCAGATAAAGGGGTTAAAGGTATGGTTGCTAAATTTCCTAATGGTACAAAGGTAGGTAGGAAAGTAAGTTATGAAGGGGAGTTAAGGAAGCCACAAAGGGATAGCAAGAGGCTAAGTAAGTAAGCAAATATCTAATGAATGGAATGTAATGCAGGAAAACATGCAAATTGTCCACTTTGGCAGAAAGAATAAAAAAAAGGAATATTATCTAAATAGTAAGAGATGCAGAGGGATCCAGGTATCTTTATGTATGAATTGCAAAAGGTTAGAAGGGCCTTCTCTGAATTATATAATTCTAATTCTGAGTAACAGTCACTGGGCCCGAAATTTAACTTTGATTTCTCTTCACAGATGCTGCCAGACCTGCTGAGCTTTTCAAGCAATTTCTATTTTCATTTGTGCATAATTCTATGTTTCTCCAGATACAGCAAGTAATCAGGAAAAGCTAATAGAACGTTATTGTCTATTGTGAGGGGAATTGAATACAAAAGTAGGGAGCTTATGCTTCAGTTATACAGGGCACTAATGAGACTACATCTGGCATAGTGTACAGCACTAGGCTCCTTACTTTAAAAAAAAGGAACGTAAACCTGTTGGAAGCAGTTCAAAGAAGGTTTACTAGACTAATACCTAAATTGAGTGATTGTCTTATGAAGAAAAGTTGAACAAACTAAGTGTGCATCCAGAGGGGTTTAAAAAAGTAACAGGCAACTTGGCTTAAACATACAAGATCTTGAAGGGTCCAGAAGGATGGATGTGGAAAGAATACTTCCATTTATAGGGAATTTAGAATGAGACGTCACTGTTTAAAAATCATGGTTCGCCTATTTAAAACAGAGATGGGGCAAATTCTTTTCTCAGAGAAGACTGTGATTGTTTGGGACAGCCTCCCTCGAGGGGCACTGGAAGCGCAGCCTTTGAATGGCAGAAATAAGCTCGATTCTTGAGAAGCAGTAGGTTATAGATTATCAGGAGTAGGCAGGCGTGGAGTAATTAGATCAGCCATGATCTTATTGAATGACAGAGCAGACTCCAGGGACTCCTAATTTATACATTCATAGAAGGGACTCAAGACAACTGAATACAGTTAGAAGAGTGAGAGTATTACAGTTATTAGTGTCTGGATTGCATTATTACCAAGATTAACTCAGCACAACTGTTAGAAAGATCTACATTTATTAGTGCCTTTCATGACCTCAAGACGTCTTAAAGCACTTACAACCACGAAGGACTTTACGGAGCAGAGTCACTGCCTGATCCATTTCCAGAATTACAGCAATGTGCACAAAGCAAGGTCACACAAAATCAATGAGATAACAAGCAGATAAGCTGTTTTACTGATTTTGGTTAAAGAATGAATGTTGGTGAGGCCACTGGGGCAGTCTCCTTTGTTGTTTCTAAAAATGAAGACATTGAATGTTGTAAGAATAGAAAACACAGCACAGAAGTAGACCTTTGGCTGACTTTATCATTGGTGGCCAAAAACACACTATTGATCGCCATCGCATTTTTGCAGCTCTTAGCAAGTAGTTCTGCAGCTTTCAGCATTTCCAAATGAATTCCAAACACTTTTTTAAAAAAATACATTGTTGATGAAGGTTTCTGCTTCTCCCATCCTCTCAGGTAGAGTGTTTCAGACTCCCACCACCCTCCAAGTGAGAAAATGTCTCAACTCCTCTTTAATCCTTCTCCCAATTACATTCAATTGAGGGAACAGACAGGATCTCAGTTGAACATCTCAATCCAAAACTGAAATATCTGAAAGTGCAGCGGTCCTGAGTCTAAGCCTTTATTTGTGATAATATTTCCACAACTGGACTTGAACACATGACACTCTGATTCAAAGTTAAGAGAGTTGTCACTCGAACTGGCAATGATAAATAAAACACAACATAATACTTAATAAAAATTGAAAGAACAGCGGACGCTGTAAATCAGGAACAAAAACAGAAGTTGCTGGAAAAGCTCAGCAGGTCTGGCAGCGTCTGTGAAGAAAAATCGGAGTTAATGTTTCGGGTCCGGTGACCCTTCCTCAGTTCTGATGAAGGGTAACCGAACTCAAAACGTTAAGTCTGATTTTTTTTCCCCACAGATGCTGCCAGATCTGCTCAGCTTTTCCAGCAACTTCTGTTTTTGTACAGCATTATACTTCTTCATTTTAGAAGTGCACTGAATTCCTTTTTACGTTTGCTATTAGTTTCCATCAGTTTTGTAATGTTATCATCTAGCATGCATTTCATTTTCCTTGATAATCACACTGTGCAGTACAAAAGGTTTATAATGATTAACAGTTGTATTGAAGTCATGAGAACAAACTTTACATGAACTTTGCATTACTTTCAAATTACCTGACTATCTTGAAGGACGGTTCATTGTGTGACAGTCATACAGAAGTCTTCTGATTACAGTGTGAAAGCAGGAAACATACTCCATATTATCGAGTTAAAAATCAGCAACTGTTTTTATATGCAACATACATTTAACACACACCAGCACAATGTAGCAGCAGAGTGCATGTTAACAGAGTGCATCACGGTCCAGAGTGAGAATGTGGGAGAAATGTATGTCGGATGACATTTTGGAGTTCAGAGGAGAGAGTTTCAAGGGAAGCTTTAGAGAAGTACTGATCAGAACAGAAATAATTAGACTAAGGGCTGTGACAGGGAGTTGGGAGAGGGAACAAATATTTGAACGGAATGGTAGGTGTCTTTTCCTTAATATGGGGGATTTCAAGAGTAGGGGGCATATTCTTAAGGTGAGAAGAGGCAGATTTAAAAAAGACATGACAGACTTTTCTTTTTACGTGGTTCACATATGGAACGAACTTACTGAAGAAGTGGTGGATGTGGGCACAGTTACAATGTTTAAAAGATGCTTAGATAAGCATATGAATAGGAAAAGTTTGGAGGAAAATGGACCAGGAGCAGGGAGTTGGGACTAATTTAGTTTGGGATTATGTTCAGCACGGACTGCTTGGAGCGAAGGGTCTGTTTCTGCGCTGTATGACTCTATGACATTCTTTTAAGTCATATCTTGCCTAGGTGCTAGTGCAGTATTCAAAGCTGGGGAACACTTCAGAGGGAGTTGAAAACTATTATAGAGGAGGAGAAAAAAGGAAAATATAATAGTGATAATACAGTGTGGAGTTGGAGGAGCACAGCAGGCCTGGCAGCATCAGAGGAACAGGAAAGTTGATGTTTCAGGTCGGGACCCTTCTTCAGAAATGGGGGAGATAGAAGGGAGCTCAGAACTAAAGACAGAGAGGAGGGGTGGACTGGGGAAGGTAGGTGGGATGGCGATAGGTGAGTGCAGGTAGGGAGTGGTGGGAGGAGCAGATAGTTGGGAGAGAAGATGGACAGGTTGTATTAGGTCAAGGAGTCAAGGATGAGAGGGAGGGTTGGTCATGGGATGAGGTGGGGGGTGGGGACAGTTTGAAACTGATAAAATCCACATTTAGGCCATTAGACTGTAGGCTCCCAAGGCGGAATATGAGGTGTTGCTATTCCAGTTTCTGGGTGGCATCCTTGTGACACTGGAGGAGGCCCAGGATGGACATGTCGTCCAGGGAGTGGGAGGGCGAGTTGAAGTGGTTCATGACTGGAAGGTGTTGTCATTTGTCACAAATAGAGCACAGGTGCTCCACAAAGCAGTCTCCGAGCCTCCGCTCGGTCTCACCGATGTAAAGGAGGCCACATCAGGAGCAGCGGATGCAGTAGACCACATTGACAGATGTGCAGGTGAACCTCTGTCTGATGTGAAAGGCTTGTTTGGTGAAATTGGCAGATGAAAGAGATAGCCAACTGAGATACCGGGACAGGGCAGGTCAAGCACAGTAAAGAAAGATGGTCAAAGGGTGAAGCCACTGCAGAGAATGGGCAGATGATAGTTAGGCGAGCAATAAAGCAATGGCATGTTTAAGATTGAATTATTACTTCCTAATGTTGTGTGTCAGCCATTATTCTACTTTATCCAAGTTTCTGTCTTTAATTCAGGCGTGTTAGCATAAAATAGTTAGACAAGAAATAGCAATGGCTGTTCAGTATGGTAAGAAGGTTTGTGAGCTTCTCATCTCACACAGCAAGCTGCCAGCAAATAATTCACTGGACCTAGTGGAAAGACCGTACCTTTTTATTTTTCTGTATTTTTGTCTGATTGTGGACTGAAATGGGAAAAGAAACAAAAAATGGTTTTAAAAGATTTGGATTGTTGAAGGAATACTGCAATTTTTAAAAGCAAATTACCTGACAGTCATGCTGTTTAAACAGTTCAAGCAGTGGGAAAAGCCTAGTTACAGATGAGTTGAAGCCAAGGAGCGGTGTACGAATGGAGATTCGGCTGTCAATAAGTAGCTGATTGGTCTATGGACATGTGACCAGTTATCAATGACATAGGCCTCCTGTCTCCCTACAACTATGTGATTGGCTCCCAGGTAGCTGAACAGCTTGGGCCTATGGATGTTTGGGTGAGAAGCCATCAGGCCCATGGAGGAGAAGAACTGTTGTTGCTCTACAGTAAAGAGCACCTCCTGTCTGAATTTAGCCAGATTATTTCCCCTCATTAGTTTCTGTAAGCAGTGACTTTTAATTAGTAAATTCAAGATCTTTTATAAGGGTGAACCAGTTACCCTTTCCCTCTTACAAACAAGTACCTGGAGAGGGAAGATCAACAGCAGCATTGTGATCATATCAGCAAACACTGTGGACAGATACAACTGAACTGTTTCCCGGTCTTTCCCTCCAACCATATCCCCAAAGTTTTTTTTTTGTGTGTCTGCCTGTGTGTAAGGGAAGCTGTATAAATGGGTTAGAATTTTAACTGGCTGACCTAAGATGTAAGTGCAGAAGTAGACCATTCAGCCCATCAAGTCTGCTCTGCCATTCAATAAGACATTGACTTATATGATAATCCTCAAATACACTATCCTTATAATCCTAGATTCCACTATGGATTAAAAGTTTGAGTATCTCAGCCTCGATTATACCTAACAACCCAGCCTCTACAACCCTGTGTGGTATGCATTCCACAGATTCACTACCCTCAGAGAAATATATCCTCCTCATCTGTCCTAACTGCATGACCCTTTACTCTGAGATTATGCCCTCTGATCCAAGTCTCTTCCACATGGAAAAACAATCTCACTACATGTATCCTGTCAAGTCCCTGAGGAATCCTGTAAATTTCAGTCAGGTCATCCCTTATTCTTCTTAGCTCCAATGAGTACAGGCCCAACCTACTTAATCTCCCCAAAACCAGGAACAGCCTAGTGAAGCTTTTCTGGACTGCCCCCAATACCACTTTATCTTTCCTTAGATAAGAATCCAAAACTGTTCACAGAATTCCACGTGTTGTCAGACCCGTGCCTTGTATAGTTTTAGCAAGATTTCCCTATTTTCATACCCTATTCTCATTGAAATAGGCTAACATTCCATTTACCTTCCCTATTACTTGCTGGACACGTATGTCGACTTGTTGTGATTCATGCAAGAGGTTTCCCAAATCCCTCTGTGCTGTAGTTTTCTGCAGTCTTTCTTAATTTAAATAATACTCAGCTGCTATATTCTTCCTTCCAATGCGTATAACCTCACATTTTCCCACATTATACCTCCAATAACATGCCATTAATTGCTTTACAGGGAAATAAAGAGTAATGGAAGTCAATGTCCTTTTTACTAATTCCAACAGTAACTGACACCTCTTAACCAGAGGTGGTAGTATTTATGGTGTTAAGAATTCAGGTAGATGGTTATTTGGTGGTTATTATTACCTATAGTGAGAATCTATTTGTTTGCAACAAATAGTAATTTCTGTAACACCTGGTTTGTGCTTTCTGTCAACCTGGGTCTAAAAGACTAGTAAATGGGCAATTCTGCGTTTTTTTTTTAGAAATCAAAGTTTTGTGATAACTCCAGTTGGCAGGTCTTGATTTTCGGTAGGTTACTCTAATGACCGTAAAGCTACTGCTCTGTTATTGACTTCTTTGTCCTTCATGTACAATGCAAACACAGATATACAAGTTACAGTAACACGCAAGGTACTGTGTTATCTGTTCCCTCCAAGGTTGAATAGATATACATGTGAATGCAAAACCCCAGAAACAAGGTGGTGTTTAATTTACTGGGGCAAATTACACAGTAAAGCAGATTGCTACATTTTACTTTCATCTCTCCCTGGGGAGACGTACCTTTCCTTAATAAATTCCAGGCTGAGAATGATTGTTAATTTTTAAAATTACAATTCCAAGATTCTAATGAAAATGCATTCAAATGCCAGAGAAATATTACAGATGGGCTCAAGATAGTATTTGCAACAGAATATTAATTGGATTCTGGCATCAGTGCTTCATTCTCACAAACACCATCAGATGAAGATACAGACTCGAATTCTTGGGCACTTTAACCATACAGCCCTTCTTGTAGAGATTCTAATGATAAATCATTGACCTAAAACATAAACTCTGTTTCTCTCTCCACAATGCTGCCTGCCTGATCCATTATTCCCAGCCCTTTCAGTTTTCTTCTCACAGGGGTTGACATACAGACAAATCATAATAATTTGCGCTATAATAGGTCTAATTTGGAGAAGAAGATCAGCATTGTTAGTTCTGGTCATCACACCTGCAGCCTTGGCCCTTTCATCCAAAAGGGAGAAAATAGCACAGATCAGCAGAGAGAAACCGATTAGAGATCAAATACCTTCATATCAACGGATGGATCTCCTTGTAGTAACGTCCATTCATATCGGACTATTCCCCGATCGTCAGCACTGCCTCTTCCATCCAGCAGCACCCAGTCAGTGGGCAGTAATAAGACCACATCCTGACCTGCATCACAGTGGGGGGCTTCATCATTTCCTGCAGAAGAACAAACAAAAAGGGCAAGGTAACTATAAACTTACTTAGCCAAGTTCCCAAGGGAGTCAGTGCTTCAAACGTAAAGTGAACTGTCTAAGCGCTTATAAAAGCGGGACAAGTTGAGAGGTGATCTGCCTAGTTCTATTGGTAGCATTCTTGCTGCTGAATCAGCAGCTCCCAAGTTTGAGACCTGCTCCAGAGGCATAAGCACAAAATCTGAGCTGACACTCTCCTATAGCACTGCACTGTTTCAGATTACTTCTTTCATCGAAGACAGTAAATCAAGACCCGGTCTGCTCTCTTAGGTGGACAGAAATTGTCACGTCATGATTTGTTGCCCCAGAAGAAGTAGTTTCTATCTGCACTCAACTCATTTTGCCATCTTAAATGACTTCTTTCCATCTCTCCACTGTGAATACTCACAATGAAGGAAACCTTGTTTGGCAACCTGACCTCCTAATTTAACCCTTCTAGGATAGCACTTGCAAACAGGCAACTGGGTGAGAATGAATGATGGAGGAGGGAGGCGGTGGATGATGGGGATGGGGCTGGGAGCGATGATGAGGGTGGGAGTGGGGATGATGGGGGGGATGATGGGGGTGGGAGTGGTGGGGGTGGTGGGAGTGGTGCGGGTGGTGCGGGTGGTGCGGGTGGTGCGGGTGGTGCGGGT